TTAATATTAGGTTGAAACAGCCTGAAAACCTTAATTTTTGTAAAGCTGACTTTTCGGCAGAGTTTTAAAACTTTTTCTAAAAGCAAATGTTGCTGCGAGACTCAGCATGGTTGATTATCCATAGTCCGTCCGTCTCTAAGGCATCCCGAGCTATCAATCCATGAAAAAAATCAATACATTTCTATGTAAATTTCGGAAAACCCAAGCTACTTTTCCAAAGATCCTCTGAAAAACCCGCTTCATAAACTTTTCCGAAATTCACTTTTGCGTACAGAAACGTGTGGTTAGGTGCCTATTTTTCAAAACTGAAAATCGCAGGCCGTTATCTATCAAGGTGACGGAGTAATTCAAGAAACAAGCACACGCCTTTTATTTTGGCGCCGATAATAGTACATAAATCATACAGCCTCTTTATTGAAAATGTGAAAGTAAAATCACCAGAATAACATAAAATTCATTATTCGTTGGAATTATAATCTTCTTCAGGTTCAGTATTGCTTGCATCTGGACTGCCAGTATTATCATTTGTATTATTGTCCTGTTGTGTCTGTTTTTGTTGTTTTGATGTTGATATTAATGAATCACCCCCTTTTCTTTTACCGTTATTGACATTCGGTGTATTTTGATCCGTTATTTTTTCTAATTCTCTTAAATTTTTCGAAGAAACATCAATTGATTAACTTTATCAGTTCCTAATCTTGTTCTTCTATTTGTTACTGTATTACCACTTTGCGAAAATAAACGCTCAGCTGATGTATCTGTTGCAGGTATAGCTAATATACGTTTTGCAATTTTTGATATAGTTGGATAAACAGTTTCATTTTTTTTCCAATAGTCCAATACAGTTTCGTCTTTTCCAAACGTAACTGTTGATTCTATATATAAATGAAATTCATCTTTTGGAACACTATTTAGGTTTATTGTGTCAAAAAAGTTTGATAATAAACTTCGTCTATTGTCATTTGTAGCCATATATGTAGGTGAGGATGATGACGATGTTGCACTTGAATCTATTGGTTGTGTTGTATTATTATCAGAATTTCTTACTTTTTTTATTTTGTTCTGAAGAACTGCATACGAATGTTGTTTAAAATCTGGTAATGTTTGAAAATTTGTTAACAGTGGGTGTAATATAACACACAAATAATGTTCGTCAGTAATAATCCAATTACTTAATAATTCTTTACCAATATATTCTTTCAAACTGTTTGGGGCTTCCGTATTATCTGTTGTTGTCAATGATGAATGAACTAACATTTGATGTAAAGGAATGACCTCATAGATAGTTGGATTTTGATCTGCACTTAAACCTTCTGTTACGTCATTAAAATTTTTTAAATAAGAACAGATAAACTGTAATAATGATTTATCTATATCTGACAATTTATTTTTCATTTCATCTTGTACTGTATCAGTTAGTTCATCATAAACAGTTAAAATTGATTTCGTCATAACAAAGACACCATTAAATCTTGTATCAGAAAATGATTGTAATTTATGTCGTAATTGTGCTTGTTTATGTGAACGTTTAACGTGGTTTACAATTGCTTTAACAGATAAAAACAATTTTTGGACATCACTACAATTGATATCATCTTTCATAAGTGCATGTTCTAAAATTTTATTAGAATAATGTGTACCACAACCAATTCTCTTTTCACGAAATGTTGCTTTCATCAAATTTTCATTATCACTAAGAATATAAATATTTTTATTCAGTGAAGGGTTAAATTCAGCTAAACTACGGTCAATAAATATTCGAACGTTCTTTGCCTAGTTATTTTCACGATCATAGGCACGACAAGCCAAATTAAATGTTTTTAATCGCCATGCTGAATCAATGTAATGAAGTGTAACACCACCGTAACTAACACCTAAATATCACGAAAGTGTTGTTCAATGCATACAAATATTTTTGTACATTTCTTATAAGTAGGATATAGAGTAGCCTAAATATTCTTCTTATATATAGTTCTTATATATATGTTATATAGTTCTTATTGGGTAGTACCCAATAAGAACCATGTAGTTGAAGGATAAAATGTGGCGCATCTGGTACATTTTGATACATACACGAAGACAATTTATTTTTCTTCAAAATTTGATCAAGACAAATATTTGATAAAGTCGAATGTATAGCGGGTACATCACGACATGATGTAACTGTGCCAAATGCACAATCACATAAATTCCGTTTATAAAATTCAATAATTGTTTCATCTGTTGGATTATATCCGATATACGATGGCATATTAGCTAAATGGATTAGTAAAAGGTTTCTAGCCTCTTAAAAAATTTTCTGATCATTACTCAGAACTGTATATCTCACCTAACCGAATAGATTTTGAATGATGTTTAAATGGAATTGTTAACATTTCATAAACTGAAAATACATGATTAATTCTTGGTAAACCAAAGAAGTTTGTTCCTACTAAACGTTCAATTTCATCTGGTTTTGATATAGTGAAGATGGAATAAACACTAATTGTTGAAAACAGAGAAGTTGTGTAACAACTTCAGTTAGAGGCATCGAAGCATAAATCGATGTTTCAAGATCAAGTTGAGCCAGATCAAAGACAGTTTTAATAATAGTTTTGACATCGAATGAATCAACGTATAAAAGATTTAAGCAGCCCCCCTCCCTCAGAAATTATCTCCGACACTGTACATCCGATCTTGACGAAACTTTTCATCAATGTTAGGCCCAATAAGTTACGGGAATGAAACAATTTTTTTGTCTCCAAGTCTGACGGTTTAGGAGTTTTCCAGAGATCAAGTGATCACCCACAATTTCTGCATTTCTCAAAATTAGTACATTGATGAGGGCTAATATCAGCTTTTTCTTCACTACGTACACTACAATATCCAACTGTTGATAATTGCCAACCGAAATGAGATGAAATTTTCTTTTACAAATGCACTGCCTTTTAATGAGATTCAGAGCAGATGGAACGCGGGTTACAGAAAACTGACTTTTTTGTTTTTCCCGTTTTCTTCACTTTTTGAAAG